ATAAAAATGCATAACTACATGAAAACTGAACATTTCCCATTCGTATTACATGTCCCCAGATAGCCTGGATCTGAGTGCACATTATTAGCGAATAGCGCTCAGATCCCACACACATAGTTCAATCGCCATGGAGTCAAAGTTCTTACAGTCTTTCGGTATGCGAATGACTCCATGGGAGGGCTATCTGGGTTAAGTCTTTTGTATGCTCTCAATCTCCCGAACGGCCGGTGTTCGCATGCTTTCGTGGAGGCAGCCAGGCGTTCCCTTGTTTCAGCGGTGTTCGGCAGAAAAAGTGTCCGTTTTCAGTTCCATAGAAATAGAGCCAAACACCGCTGGGCGTTCGCATGATTTAAAATGGCCGCTGCCTCGTGGTCGACATACGAACGACGACCACCCTGAGTTCGGTTTAATTGAGAAGTGTCTGCGGTTAACCACAACGTTATAATGGTGATCACTTCGTTAACCTGCAGCACACTCCTCACTTGGGTGGCCGTTCGTTCGGCAGATTTGTTCGGGAAAAAGAGTCATTCGAATGGCTGGGCTATGGAAACCAGCCATTCATACGAACGGGGACAAACAGACGAACGGGCAAAAATCCAGCAGACAGATGGTTCTGTCACACGGCTCCCTCCTTGTGGGACACTCCGGCAGACCCGGCTTGACCCTGTGGCGGGTCAACTTGGGGATGACCGGACTACGAGGTGATGGAAACGTCTGTTTGTCGTGACAACCCATCTGCATTTCCGTTTAGCTTACCGGGTCTGTAGCTGATAGTAAAATTGTAGGGCTGTAGTGCCAAGCTCCATCTCAGCAGTCTCCCATTATCTCCTGAGACCCGGTTAAGCCAAACGAGTGGGTTGTGATCAGTCACAAGGGAAAATTCTTGCCCATACAAATAGGGGCTTAACTTTTTCAATGCCCAGACCAAAGCCAAACACTCCTTTTCCACTGCCGCATAACTCACTTCTCTGGGTAACAACTTTCTGCTGAGATATGCGACAGGGTGCTCTCCTCCATCTTCCCCGACTTGGCTCAGCACAGCCCCCAGTCCATACATGGAAGCATCTGTATGGACGAGAAAACGTTTGTTAGGGACTGGGGCAGCCAAGACAGGGGCATTCACAAGGGCCTGCTTCAGTGCCTGGAACGCAGCTTCACAAGCCGGAGACCACAGGACCTGCTTAGGCAAGTTTTTCTTGGTCAGATCTGTCAGGGGCTTAGCGATAGCGCTGTAGTCAGGGACAAAGCGTCTGTAGTACCCTGCCGTCCCCAAGAAGGCCAATACCTGGGTCTTAGTAGTAGGTGTGGGCCAGTTAGCCACTGCCTCTACCTTGGCTGGCTCCGGTCTCTGGCTCCCACACCCCACTCTGTGACCCAGGTACTGTACTTCAGCCATACCTAGATGACACTTTTCTGGCTTCAATGTCAGGCCAGCGGCCCTAATCTTATCCAGCACTACCCCTACATGTACCAGGTGTTCCTCCCAGGACCCACTGTAGATCGCAATGTCGTCCAAGTATGCACAGGCAAATTCTTGGAAGCCATCCAGGAGTCTATCCACCATCCGTTGGAAGGTAGCCGGTGCATTTTTCATCCCAAAAGGCATGACCTTAAATTGGTACAGGCCAAATGGGGTGACAAATGCCGACTTGGGGATAGCATCCTCGGCCAGGGGGATCTGCCAGTAGCCCTTACACAGGTCTATGGTGGTCAGATATTGCCCCCTGGCAATACGATCTAGTAATTCGTCTACCCGGGGCATTGGGTAGGCGTCAGTGGTGGTCCGCTCGTTGAGTCGCCTGTAGTCCACACAGAACCGGGTGGTCCCATCTTTCTTTGGCACCAGGACTACAGGCGAGGCCCAAGGGCTGTCGGAGTGCTCTATAACCCCAAGCTGGGTCATCTCCTGTATCTCCTTCCGCATTCCTTCATGGACTGCTTCAGGGATACGGTAGGGGGGCTGTCGTAACGGGGTCTGTCCAGGGGTCTCTACCTTATGCACAGCTAGGGTGGTATAACCTGGTTCCTGGGAGAACGTCGCCTGCTTCTCCCATAACAACTGCTGTGCCTGTACCCTTTCTGTGGGGTTCAACCGGTCCCCTAGCTGTACAAGGGTAGTAAGGTCAGTCTGGGAATCCCTTTCTAATAGATCTGGAAGGGGTAAGTTCTCAGAATCATCTGCAGCTGGGGCACATACTGCTGCAATATTCTCAGGTCTCTCCTGGTACTTTTTCAGCATGTTCACATGAAAGGACCGCTGGATCCTCTCATCTGCACAGCTGGCTATCAAGTAAGTAGTGTCGCAGATCTGCGCCACTACCTTGTACGGGCCCTGCCAAGATGCCTGCATCTTGTTGGCCTTCACAGGTTTAAGCACCAACACCTTTTGCCCAACCTGGAAGACCCGCTGTCGGGCACCCTGATCGTACCATCTCTTCTGTCTCCCCTGGGCCGCCTGGAGATTCTCCCTTACCATCAGGGACAGTTTCTCCATGCGGTCCCGGAGTTCCAAAACATATGGCACTATGGGGATCCCTTCCTGCTCCGTCTCCCCCTCCCAGTGGCCTCTAATGAGATCTAGGGGTCCGCGGACCCTTCTCCCATACAGCAGCTCAAAGGGGGAGAACCCAGTAGATTCCTGGGGCACCTCTCTATAAGAAAATAATAGATGAGGCAGGAATCTCTCCCAGTCTCTGCAAGTGTCTGTAAAGGTCCTCAGCATCTGTTTGAGGGTACCGTTAAAGCGCTCGCAGAGACCGTTAGTCTGTGGGTGGTAGGGTGAGCTAAGTAACGGCTTAATGCCGCACACCTTCCACAGTTGCTGGGTGAGCACAGCGGTGAATTGGGTTCCCTGGTCGGAGAGGATCTCCTTAGGGAACCCGACCCTAGTAAAAATTCTAACCAGGGCATCAGCAACCGTCTCTGCCTCTATGTTAGACAGCGCTACTGCCTCTGGATAGCGGGTGGCATAGTCCACCACGGTAAGAACATACTTCTTACCGGATGGACTAGCCCTGGCCAGTGGACCCACAATGTCAACGGCTATGCGGGCAAAGGGCTCCCCTATAATAGGCATCGATAATAGCCTAGCCTTAGGGTGGTCCCCCCGCTTTCCTACCCGTTGACATGTGTCACACGTGCTGCAGTACATCCGCACAGCCTGGTTAAAGTTTGGCCAAAAGAAGTTCTGTGAAATCCTATAGGCTGTGCGGCGGGACCCTAGATGTCCAGCTAATGGAACATCATGCCCTATCCGCAGAATCTCCTGCCGGTACTTTGCAGGTACCACTAACTGGCGATTCGGCGGAGTGGCAACACTCTTCTGGGAAGGTTTAGGGATCCTATACAACCTGTCCCCCACCCACTCATACCGTTCCCCATCTATTCCTTCCTCCCCAGCATCTGCCCTGTCCTTGTATCTTTGGAGGGTCGGATCTGCCCGGGTTTCCCTCCCAAACTCCTCTGGGGAATCCCAGCTTAAGGGAACCTGATCTGGGGTACCAGTTGGGGAAGGAGATCTTACCTGGGTCTCGTCAGCAAGTGGGCTGGTTCCGGCGGCACGGGTCTGGGCACGGGTGGTCACTGGGTTCACGTCTGCAGGGCCCATCGGAGCATAGGCTGAAACCAAAGGGTCTAAATCGTTTCCCAAAAGAACATCGGCGGGCAAGTCCTTCATCACCCCCACATCCACATGCCTAGCGCCCACTCCCCAATCCAAATGTACTCGGGCAACAGGTAAGCGAAACACGGCACCCCCTGCTACCCTTACTGCCACAGTGTCTCCAGTGTGCTGATGTTCTGAGACCAAGTTCTTTTGGAGCAGTGTCATCGTGGCTCCTGTGTCTCTCAGCCCATTCACCACTCTGCCATTCAGCTTCACAGTTTGCCGATGTTGCTGGCGATTATCCTGGTGAGCTGCTTGCACTGGGTCTGCCTCGTGTAGAATGCCCCAAAATTCCTCCTGCTCTAGGCAGTGAGCAGCAGGCTGAGGTGGGCGCTGGTTTCCATTAACTGGTCTCCTCCAGGACTGAGCCTGGTTGGCACTGTTCAGTGGGCACTCAGGACGCTTGTGCCCCAACTGCTTGCACCCATAGCACCGGATGGGTTGGGAGTACTCCCGGGCATTAAATCGGGCTGGTTGTATATAATTGTTAGCTGGTGGTGCGGCTGGGGTACGGTGTACTGGGGGTTGGTAGACTGCAGGAGCGGGTGTTACTGCTGGTCGATACTCCAGTCTGGCAGGGGCTTTAGCAGCTGTACCATCCAACTTGCGGGCATCCGTGTATTCGTCTGCCAGACGGGCAGCCTCGGGTAGGGTAGAGGGTTTTCTGTCTCTGACCCATTCCCGGACCCCAGCAGGTAGTCTATCAAAGCAGTGCTCCAGCAGGAACACTTGTAACACCTCCTCCCCAGTTACCGCTTGGCATCCAGCCATCCAGTGGGCTGCGGTACGATGGACTCTGCAGGCCCATTCCACATAAGAGTCCCCAACCAGCTTGTTGGTTTCTCTAAACCTCCGCCTGTACGCCTCTGGGGTCACTGCATACCTGGCTAGGAGCGCCTCTTTCACAGCCCGGTAGCTGGTGATCTCCTCCTCTGGGATGGCCCGAAAAGCTTCACTAGCCCGGCCAGATAATTTCCCAGAGAGGATGGTGACCCATTCATCTGCAGGTACCTGATGTAGCGCACACTGCCTCTCAAAGTCTGCCAAAAATCCATCAATCTCTCCCTCTGTTTCCACAAAATTTTTAAATGCAGCAAAAGGTACCTTCTTTCTGGCAACCACATTATTGTCATACGGTACCTCTGCTGCTGCAGCTCCTCTTTCCCGGGCCGCCTGTTGTGCTGCAACTGCTGCCTGCACACGAACCACGATGTCAGCTGAGGGGTTGGGGCCAAAATGTGCCAGCCTTATTTGTACTGCCCGGTTGAATTGTATTTCCTCGGGTGTTAAATCCAAGGTACTGGGCACGTTGACTCTTTCCATTCCCGTTGCTGCATCCATCTCCATTAGCAAAGCAATAATCTCCCGTTTCTTTAAATTGCTTGCTGACCTTCCTCGGCGTTCCAATATGTCCTTAAGTGTCGCACGCCTTAATTCCTCGTACTGCATGTCTCGTAGCTGACCTCCAATGCTGTAGGATTCATCCTACCGCTGCCACCAATTGTTAAGACACCTCCTGTGCCTTTAAGCCAAACCGCCGTTTAGTAAATCTTCCCCGGCTGCAGTACAGTCTCTGTTCGCTTACTCTGTATCCCACGAACCAAATGCAGGGGAAGCGACAATCTCCCGATCGAAATCCACGAACGGCTCCAAACTCCCGAACGGCAATATACGAACTGCTAGGAACCGTCGAACAATAATATCCCCAAAGCGGCTTTCGTTCCATCCAGCAGTCTCTAAACGTGAAGAAGAAATCCCCCCAATAACGAGACAGAAGCTCCGCATTGAGGGTCAAATAAGATCTGGTTTTACTGTGGGCTACCTGCCCGTATTTATGCAGGTCTCCCACCTGGTGGACACTCCCCTAGGGGACCAAATGGAAGACTTAAATTACAGACAGATAGAAGGACATTTCTGACACACAGTCCCCTCTTTTACCCACAGTGCATTCTGATTCCCTCCCCTCTGTCCTGGAGTTAATTACCAAGTAACTCAATTAACTCCAGGACAAGGACAGTCGCCATTTTAAACATTAAATAATAAAAGACATAGAAATGCATAACTACATGAAAACTGAACATTTCCCATTCGTATTACATGTCCCCAGATAGCCTGGATCTGAGTGCACATTATTAGCGAATAGCGCTCAGATCCCACACACATAGTTCAATCGCCATGGAGTCAAAGTTCTTACAGTCTTTCGGTATACGAATGACTCCATGGGAGGGCTATCTGGGTTAAGTCTTTTGTATGCTCTCAATCTCCCGAACGGCCGGTGTTCGCATGCTTTCGTGGAGGCAGCCAGGCGTTCCCTTGTTTCAGCGGTGTTCGGCAGAAAAAGTGTCCGTTTTCAGTTCCATAGAAATAGAGCCAAACACCGCTGGGCGTTCGCATGATTTAAAATGGCCGCTGCCTCGTGGTCGACATACGAACGACGACCACCCTGAGTTCGGTTTAATTGAGAAGTGTCTGCGGTTAACCACAACGTTATAATGGTGATCACTTCGTTAACCTGCAGCACACTCCTCACTTGGGTGGCCGTTCGTTCGGCAGATTTGTTCGGGAAAAAGAGTCATTCGAATGGCTGGGCTATGGAAACCAGCCATTCATACGAACGGGGACAAACAGACGAACGGGCAAAAATCCAGCAGACAGATGGTTCTGTCACAAATATATTTAAATTAATTAATATAATAAAATTAACCCCTGAGGATTACAAAAAATAACTAAAATCAGATACAGAAACTCCCAAACACCGCTGGATTCCATCATCGCCTGCGCTTGGTTCTACACCACTTAGAGGGGCACTGTTCAGTGGAATCGCTCATTTGGATGAGACTATTAACTATGTTCGGTAGTTTGTTCGGTTTTTAAACTACCGAACTAGACCGACCGTAAGCCCTCATTCTTTGGAACTGTTTTGGGCAGGAGCCTCATGTGCAGTTGGTCAAATTGTGACTTCCATGAAAATCCCGAAGTGGGGTTTCCATGTGTTTTGGGGGTACTTTTGGGGTATTGTGAAATGTATGTTTTCTGTGCCTGGAGATAATTTAGTTTAGTACAGTTCCTGACTCAATTATATCTCAGACACAGGGGAGGGATTATTATGTTTTTGTGGGAGTGTCCTGTACCTGAGAGTCAATGTCATTACAGTGTATGCTTTGTCAGTCCAGTGCCCCTGGAATATGTCACGGTAAACCCCTTGCATGGGGACTTGCATATAAGGCCAGTTGTGGCTGCCATTAAACAGTTCAACTTCACCCTCAACACAGAGCCACTTTGTCCACAGACACCAGCTAAGGAGAAAGTGCTGCCAAGGAGTTTCACTAGTTTTTCTCAACGCCAACCCATTCTGTTCCTCCACTAACATACCACTCGTTCTCTGCATCTCTTGCACTTTATTAACTAGTTTGTCTTTCCATATAGACAGGGTATTACTCCTCACAGCCAGATTGTTTTATATACTTGGATCACAAATGGTGGCATGCATGACCTCTGGAATGATGTCCATGTGCCAACAGTGTTCCATTAGAGACAAAAAGGTGTGCTGCACGTAAGGGGCTCTCCATATGATTAAGCTGGTATGTACATTCTGTCTGCCGGCCTTAGACAGATCTTCCTTTAAAAGTGAAACACACAAATGGTAAAGATAGGATACTTGTGGCAGACCTCTCTGCCTTTGGATTACTATTATTTCACCTTGCTTTGTCTGTATGTTTGGTTATTGCCGGTTGTTCGTATGGTTCTGGTTACATTCCTCCAAATACGAATAAACTACCGAATGGCAGGCCACCCAGCAGGGAAGTGTGCTGCTCATTAATCTTTCTGACCTCATTAACATTGTGGTTAACCGCAGACACTTCCAACTCCCGAACGGTCAGCTGGGTGGTCGTCGTTCATGTGAACGAACACGTGGCGGCAGCCATCTTGGACAGTCAAACGCACAGCAGTGTTCATCGACAAACTCATGTTACTGGTTTCAGACACTGCCTCCCACGAACACCGCTGAATTCACTGACCCTTCATCGTTCTGTTCAAGGTTCATATGAACGCCGTGCCATTCGGTAAATTGACAATGCATAAATGGGCTCTGAGCACTATTCAGTTATATTGAGCGCTCAGATCTAAGCTATCTTGGAATACGTTGAATGTGTAGGTTCCGTTCGGTATATTTGGAAATATATATTTTTATGTGTTTTTGCTGTTACTGTAAAATGGAGGATATTCTTTATCCCTGGAGGTAATTTAGTTACTTCTAGCACTTAACCTAATTATCTCCAGGATAGGGAGGAGGAGTTGTACTGTTCATGTGGGAGTGTTTGTATACTGTAAATGCATGTGATTGGTTAATGTAAAACTTGTCTCAGTTTTCCACAAGGTCCCTATGGGAGTGTCCTTTGCTGGAAAACCTGCATAAAAGGCTGACATGCAGCCCCCATTAAACAGATCCTGCTTGACCCTCAATACAGAGCCTCATCTCGTACTTGGGGGGATAATTTGTATGTTTCCTGTTCGGCGCTTAGGAGTGTTCGGTAGCTGACTTCACGTTTGGGAAAAGGAACAGCTTTGGCGGCATTAACCCCTTCCCTATTTGGGGTGCCGTTTCAGTACTACTTTCCTGCCAAATGTTGTTTGGAAGGCAGATGGTAATTGAGAGCTGGAATCTGCATCAGTTGCTTGAAAGGTAATGCGACTAAATAAACTCCCCCAACAGCAAAAGCTGACTTATCAATCTTGTCTCCTTATTTGTCAGCTATGTTAACATTTCCTTTACATGTACATTGCCAAACCCGCGGCCAGATGATGTGTGCGGACATCATTTTTCATCCCTGAGCTTGTCATATGTCCCCAAACATTTCTGCTGACCACACAGCCTGCATTATTCCAGATGCCTATCTCCC